TCGACTCGACTCGACTCGACTCGACTCGACACTCGACGCATCAACGCACGCGCCCGCCCGCTGTCATCCCGCTGCCCGCTCACCCTGCCCGTTCTCGCTCGCGCGCCTGGCTCGTGCAGCGATTTTCGGTGTGTGGCCGTTTCACTTTAATCCGCCCCTTTTGCTCCGCTGCTCGACCCACACCGACTCTGCATCCGATGCGGATCCCTGCGTCCTTGGCTTTATGGACCTGACTCTGGTGGGGCCGCATCGCAGCTAGAGTCGGTCAAGTCCGTATTCGACCAGTTCACAATTCGGTGCATGCTCGGCAGGAAAGCGACGACTGGTGCAGAGCAGCTGGCGCAAGGGAAGGCAGCCTAAAATATGCAGCGTGAGCTGGAAGTCGAAAAACCCGCCTCCGCGTCCGCGTCCGCGTCCGCCTCCGAGCCGGATCTCTCTGCTGCTGCGGCGGGATCGACGGGACCTGTTCGCGCCGCACCGCGCCATCCCGCCCTCTTCGCACCTCGAAATTGATGCGAGAGACCGAGCAGCCTCGCTTTTCTCGGCAAAACAATCGATCGTGCACGATCCGCGCCGCACGATGGGACGCCGACTCTTAGTTACCGCCATGGTGGCCAGAGAGCGACGCCATGTCGTCCCATCGGTCACACGAGCCCAAAACAAAGCCCAAAGCCCACCGGGAGGAAGACAGTCGGCGTTTCAACGCAAGCGATGGCGCATGCTGAGCGCATTCCGAGAAGCTTTCCCAACCGCCAGAAAAAGCCTCCACAAACCTCTGCCTCGCCAAGGCCCGCCAAGGTCGACGTGGCAATCAGACAAAGCTCGTGGAAATTTCAAACCTCAGTGAAAGTCGCGGTCTAACAACTATTAATCGGCTTCTCCGCTCGCTCGAGCTTGATGGCTTCTGATCAAGAACATCCTAGCCGAGAAGGGAGGTGTTCAACAGCCACCTACGCCCACGATAGAGAGCTGCCACACTGTACAGCATCGTCATCCGAGATCTCTATATTATAATGTTATTGTGCCTACTGACGCGCATCGCCGACGTGGGCGAGCGGTTCGGCCATGCCGTGCGGCGCTTCAGGCAGTTGTGACGAGGCGAGTGACGAGCTTAGCATGGCGGAACAGGTCCAGCGGCGGAGAGTGTGTAGGGTGGACCATCACATGGTCTTGACCGCGGGGGCATCGAGCAGAGAGCGACCGGACTTGAAGTTGGTGTACCAGCGCAGGTAGGCCTCGTTCATGACGAGGGTGAGCACGGTGTGCGGGGCGATGCGGAAGAGGTGGGCGGTGGTGCCCTTGTACCATCCCAAGACGCCCTCTGCCTTGGCGGTGAGGTAGAGACAGTGGAAGGGATTGCGGTAGAGCGTGCCCACGCTGCGGCCGCGCTCGTCGACCCGCACGGGTTGGTTGTACATGCGCGTCAGCGCCGTATCCGCCGGCTGCATCACGGCGCACACGCACAGACCGCTAAAGATCGACGAGGCCAGGTAGGTGAAGAACGAGTTGGGCTTGTTGGCCAAAAACTTGAGCGGATTGTACGCGTTGGCGTCGACGTCCATGTTGGTGAGGTAGCTCTTGAACCAGTTGTACGCTGGCAGCTGCACCGTACTGCCCATGGCCGTTCGCAACACCGCAGCGTCCATACCTCTCACCAGCCCGCGCACACCTTCGCTCTGGACGATCTTGACCAGTCCGTCCACGGTGCTCTTGTAGTTGTGCGACGCCCTGCCGATCACAAAGTGCGGACTGTACGCCTGGATGCGCGCCTTGATCAGGAAGAGCGGGTTGCCCAGGATCGCACCCACACAGCCACTCGAGGCACCTGCTGCAAACGCGCCCGCTGCCCACTGCTCTTCGGGGCGCTTGCCTGCTGCCCGGTTGATAGCCTTGCGGAAGGGCTCGTAGAAGCCCAGACGGCTGCCGTTGAGCAGCACCTGGTAGACGTACGCCGCACCGATGCCTCTTTGCACGCCCTTGACGCCCTCGGACTTGATGGTTTTTGTAAAGCAGTCGAGCGAGGACTTGTACAGACGTGCACCCACGGCGGCCTGTGCGCCCGCCTGAGGAGCAGCCGAGCCCGCCTGACCGCTCAGCACGCGCGGCGCCGCCGACATGAGCTCGCCCTGCAGCTGCATGCGAGTCTTGCACACCTCCATCGGATTCGTCACCGTCACGGCGGTCATGGCGGCCAACGCGCCGCAGAAGAAGCCTTCGGCGGTGGAGATCTTGACCGGCTTTTT